TATTTTTCTTTTGTTTTAACTGTATGTGTAAATTTGTTATAAATGTGTGCTCTTTAAAAAGTTGTAAGCAATTGTTTGCCAGACACATACATTAAATGTTTAAATATCTGTTACATATATGGTACTGCTTATATTATTTCACCATCTGTACACAAATGTAAGTAGTGAATGTGTGTGTCCGTGGGTGGGGCTGTGTGGCTACAGTGCCAGGGCTGAATTTTTGTCCCAGTCCGCCCCTGAATGTAGTGATTAAAGATCTGGGCTCGTAATCGACAGGTCTGAGGGGTAAACTATCTCTGTCTTTCTCATCTCATGCTTTTTCAGTTTTGTAGCCTATGTATTTTTTTCTGTGAGAAAAGACAGAATTTTTCTAGAATATAATTTTTTATACAAAGTCTGTATGAAATTAAAATAAAATTCTCACTACAGTCCTCATTACGTACGGTGCGCCTATTTGCATTGCTTTGACCGCTCTCTATAGATCCCGCCTTCTCGCACACTACGATTGGTCGATTATATGCAATGCGTGCACGCTATTGGTCAAAATACTTTTCAGTCATTACTCTAAATAGATACGCAAACAATCGCTAATATGTAAACAATAAATAGCTACTCTATAAACTATCCTTATATATTACTTATCGTAATATTAGATATTTTTGTATGTCAATCCAAAGTTGCCATCAACTGAAGCCTTAACAAGTTTCACCTCTCATATCAAAATAACAATAAAAATGAAATTAATATTTCCGCTGAATCAGTGATTTAACATTTTGCATTTGGCTGAACTCGGTAGAAAAAGAAAACTGTGGCTCAGTTCTCGCCCATATTATACTGTAAGTAACGAGAAGTTTCACTCAGTTTCACTGAGTCATCTCCGTTACCCAAAACAACAGCGCAATATTGTGCACTATTGTAAAACCGCTGTAAAAATTAAACACAGCATAAATACTTCCTTCAATTCATGTTGTAGATGTGACATCATTTATGTGTCCTGTTGAGAGTTTCTGTATGATTCCCGGCACTGGATTGTTTCTTTATCTGAAATCTGATCCATACAGCTGGTTGTTTTGTGGTTCAGTTCACTCACAGACTGCTGCTAATCACTGATGAATTAGGCTGTATAGGACAGACTGGGGCTAGTTGTCACACTGAGGGCTAATCATTATTACCCAATAATATTAATATATATTAATAATATAATAAAGATTTTAACTGAATGATTGTGATTTTGAACCATGTTCTCATGTCAAGTATATTTAAAAAAATGTCAGGCTGGTGGTCACATGTAAGTTGTTATGTTATGCAATTTTAATAAGCAGTGAGGCTTGTGTTTGTGTTCAGAAACTCTTAGACTTTTTCTATCTACATGTCACGACCGTCTCCACAGCAGCAGCAGCAGCAGCACTGTCAATCACCCAGTGTGTGATCATGCAGTACACCAACATCACCTGTTACTGGGAAACAACCGACCACCACCACCACATCAGCAGCTACAGGCTTCAGATTAACAAGTAAGCTACATTTCTTATCTATCTATCTATCTATCTATCTATCTAGTCTGTCTGTCTATTGTTCTGTTTATCCATCTATCTGTCTGTCTGTCTGTCGATTGTTGTTTATCTATCTATCTATCATCTGTCTGTCTGTCTGTCTGTCTGTCTGACACTCAGCCATCTGAGTGAGGCCAAGATAGGAGAGATGTGTTGACTTTTCTTAGCACTCACAAGCAGCCTAGCTGCTGCATTCTGAACTAGTTATAAGCGTGAAATAATGGTCTGACAGAACCCCCACATACAAAACATTACAATAGTCCAGACGAGACAATATAAAGGCATTAATAACCTTTTCTAAATCTTTCATCGACAAAATAGGTTTTAATAGAGCAAGAATCTGGAAAAAACAGCTCTTAACCACAGTATTAACCTGCTTGTCGAATTTCAAATCTGGATTGAACACAACTCCTAAATTCCTTATTTGGTCATGACAGTAGACTGACCAAGAACCTAAATAAGTGGCAATGTCTGAGCATCCTCTAGTGGGGCCAAAAATCATAATCGGTTTTACTTTGGTTTAACTGAACCAAATTGTGAGCCATCCAGCTCTTCACCTCTTCCAGACATGCCAAAAGTACATTTCAACCACAATTCTCTCCATGTTTCAAAGGGAGATAAAGTTGTGTATCATCGGCATACAAATGGTAAGACATTCCGTATTTCTTAAAAATCGAGCCTAGAGGCAGCATGTACAAGGAAAACAATACTGGGCCAATAACAGAACCCTGAGGAACCCCACAGCTAATAGAAGCTGTAGATGAAAAAAAGTCACCATACTTCACCGAGAACATTTCTTATCTATCTATCTATCTATCTATCTATCTATCTATCATCTGTCTGTCTGTCTGTCTATTTAAATCATACAGTATATTGTAGTATACTTTAAATAATAATAATATATTTAAGGGCATTAACTTTGCATATTACACTTGCTGATTTGATTCTATAGGTTTCTTGTGTTTTAGTGGTAGCGGTAGACAATAGACATCTCGTCAAATGCTTACGCTTGCAGTGGCTTTGATTGGCGTGACTATAGTCAACCAATTTGCAAATTTGTACCGATCAGTGAAACTGCTAATTACTAAACATTGATGTTTCAGGAAACGTTAAAGCCCATAAACTTGAATCTAACTTGATTCAAAAGTACTTACCAATCTGTCAGTATAGTTTTGAGTAGACAGAGAACAGATAAAAGTAACAGGTGGTTTAAATTGCCAAGCACAAGTTCTGTTTTCATATTGACTCATTGCAATGGTTTTTGAAGCAGCTTTATTTGCTATACAGTGTTTTTCAGTTGCTATATGAAACAAGTTCTTGATGTTGCATTATAGGTTGTTCAGATCAGTGTTTTGGTTTGTGGGATCTTTAAAGCACCATTCATTTTATTTGCAAGCATGTAAGTGAGTGAGATATTCCTGTGTTATTCTGCACAGAACCTCTTGTGAAAGTAAACACCGCTTCATCCCGGTGGGTTTCTGTAATACCAGAGGCTCTGACTGCTCCGTTCAGCCCATCGATTCAGCGTTACACTGTTTCTGTGCGGATGTGCTGGCGACCACACGCACCGGATCCATACGCTCACCGCCGTACTTCTTCAGTGGGGTCAAAGCAGGTATACTGCACATCATGAAACAACATTATTGTACTGTACACATTGTTTATTACTTTCATATTGGTGACACATACCTCGAAAAATGCTTCTCAGCAGTACATATAAATCACTCATTTCCGTCTATAGTCATGTTTAATGTCATTATTCATTATGCTTTGCACCTGTGTCCATTATGCCAAAGGCATTTCATTCCTTACCTTAGTAAACAACCTGTAAATAAAGAGTCTTTTCTTCTCAATATGTCTGTATTCTCAGTATGTTTTCTATTTTTACTGCAGTGAAACTTCGTCCTCCACAGATAACAAATCTCAGGCCATCAGAGAGAAGGTCCGGGTGTTTGCAGGTGATCTGGAGAATGGTTGAGAGCTTTCCCAAGAATGAAAAAGTCTACATACTGCTCCAAATGGAGTACACGACACACAACCAGGTTTATACATATATGACTAAAATATAAGAGCTATAAGAGAGAGCTCACCTAAAAATCTAGATCCCGTCCTCATTTACTCACCCTCATGTCTTTCCAAACTTAAACTTATGATTATGACTTATATTTTGGTCTTTTTAGCACACAAAGCTGTTGTTTGACTTCAGAAGGCAGATTGCAGTGCATGAGTCATTTAGAAAGCTTTTATGCACTAAAAGCTTCTTCAAAACATCTCCTTTGTCTTCCACAGAAGAAAGAATGTAGACAATGACAGACGCTTCTCTTTCAAAAAAGAAGTGTACTTAATTGTACTAAATGTGCATTCATAGTGTACCTGTATGTCAAGTCTTGAAAAGCATTTTAAAAAGCTGTACTTTCAGATATTATTAAATTATTGAAATAAAAGGCACTTAAGTGTACTTAAAAGAGTACAAGTTCATGACATACTTAAGTACACTTTTAAAAAGTATCAAAAAGTGTTACTTTAAAGTACCTTTTAAATCATTGTTTTAATAATCTTTTGTCATGCTTTATTTATTTGGATGTGTTAACTAACATACTAAAACAAATGTAAACTACATGAATAATTACTATAGTGAGTTAATTTAAAGGTGCTTTAAAGGTAATTTAAAGTTTTTGACTGTACTAAAGCATAAAAATACCATAATATGTTTGCAGATATTTAAGAAACATGCTAAGTTAACATACTTGTTTATCTGAAAAACAACGCTACAGTCAGTTATTCTCCTTTGAAAATGTGCGTTCCGGGCCGGAATGTCGGTCTCTGTTTTGGTTTGTGAAACCCACCCACTGCCAGTTTACCCAATTGTATTTCAGCACCCCAGGTTGCCAGTTGGCGGAAAACACAGAGTATTTAATTTCATTCATCGTTAAGTGCGCTTGTTCCTGTTGGTGTCGTCAATCTGGCAACCTGCGTGTGCATCAAGTCTGAGGAGGAGGGGCCGGGTGAAAAAAAACCCCTCTCCAATATTTTGAATTTGGACTGCAATATCTAGTTCAACCACTCGGTGTCAATCCTACATACAGCACCTTTAACTGTAGTGAGTTATTTAAATTTTGAAGTTACATTTGAATTTACCTTTAAACTGTACTAAACTTTATCATTACAAATGTGTGATTAAAAATATAGGTCTATTTAACTGACATACATGTTTCAATAGAAATTACGTAAAACACAAATGTATTTTAATTACCATTAATGTTTGTCAGTACATTCGGCAATACACTTTACCATATTGGAAGTAATTAGGAAATGTTAAGATGTACTTAAGTCCTACTTAAGTGTCAAAAAAGCACTCTTAGGTTCAGATAATTGCAATTAATAACAATTTAAAGTATAATACAGTTTAATTTAGTTGTAAATAACATGCAGTTAAGTGTATGAAAACATTACATTCTGTGTATTTTTATACAAAGTATGGTAATTCCATAGAGTACTCTTTTTAAAAGTATGTTTGTGTGACCTTTAGTTGATATAAAACTGATATTTAGTTGGAGCATATACAAGATTAGACCATTAATGACACTCTCTCTAATGATCCTGTAGACCCGATCCCAGACTATACAAGCCTTTTCCGAGGAGACGTTGGAGCTGTGTGACTTACACCCAGGATCCAAGTATATGGTGAGACTGAGAGCTCAGGACAGTCGAGCGCACGCTCACTGGAGCTCGTGGACATCTGTAGACATAACCACAGCAGAGAAAGGTGAGACTTTGACATTATTGTCCTTGAACTCTTCAAATGAGCATGCATTTCCACATGCCACCAAACAGACAATTAGTCAAAGCAATACAAATCATACTTTCAAAAAGAGTAATTACTACGAAAATCATATGCTTAAGAGTGAACTTAATGTGATGTTTCCAGACACTTAATTGCATGTTGTTTACAATTAAAGTAAAAATATATTATAATTTAAACATACAGTATATTACATGTAATTAGTTTGACTAATTTGACTCGCTTAAGTATATCTCTATGTGTAATTTCATAATTGTACTGTCTTTGAAATATGGTTAAAGCGTATTGTCAAATTAACTGACAAGCATTTATGGTAAACTAAAATATACTTCAATGTCATTTCTATTGATACTTTTATGTTATGCATTTAAGTACATATACATAGTAATTGTACAGTAGAACATTTGTAATGACGAATTTGCAGTTTAGTAGTTCTAAAATATGTTATCTTTAATTATAATTATACAGTTAGGTTTGATGGTATCATTTTATATTTGGTCCAATCATATGTCAGTTTTTTTTTTTTTTTTTGTGAAAAAGAAGTTTACATTAACATACTTTTAAAACGAGTACTCTATGGAAATAATATGCTTTAAAAGAATATACTTAAATGTGTATGAATTTAATGGTGTCAGACACTTAATTGCATGTTATTTAAATTGATATTAGTATTAAATACAGTTAGTTGAATTTAAGAGTGCTTTTTGACCCACTTAAGTGGGACTTAAGTACATCTTTATATGTGTAGCGTCTGGACCAATCAAAAACACAATTTTTAATTTGATTTAACAAATCAGTTATTCATTAGATTAACAAATCGTCACAGTCCCCTCACCCAATAAACTGGATGCCAGGATGTCTGCAACGACACCAGGCCCCCCCCTGGTTACCATGGCAACCCTGACACCAGATACATTTACGACCTAATGCAAGTAGGGAAAATCACTGCCTTTTTCATAAGGAGGAGGCACAAGGCACAGTTGAAATGGACTTTTCTACTAATTAATTCATGGGAAAACCTTTCTTTGAATGAACACACATACCCTTCAGGTCATCGTGTATGTTGTCTTTGTGTATATATATATATAAATATACTTTAATGTTATTTTTAGTGAAACTTGTATGTCATGCATTTAAATATACATTTCTAATGATGAATTTGCAATTTAGTATATAAAAAAAAATAATAATTTTAGTATCAAATACTTCTGCTGCAGTATGGTAGTCAACACATCAAAACATGTCCTTTAAAGCATGACAAAAGAGTAATAAAACAATGATTTAAGATGTACTTTAAATTAAATCCTTTAATTTGACATTATTACAAAATGCAGTTTTTAAAAGTGTACTTAAGCGTGTCAAGAAACAGTCATGAAAGTGTACTCTTTAAGTACTTTTTATTTTATTAATATTATAATTTCTGCAAGTACAGAAATAGTATTTGAAGTACACTACAATTACTTCTTTTTATGATCAGTTTGCAGTTTGAGTGCTGTTAAATACAGATGTGTGGATGAATATGAGTCTGGATTGATCTTTCCTCAGCTCCGTCCGCAGCTCCTCAGCTCTGGAGACTCATCCAACCTGCAGAAGAAGCTGGAAGGAGAAGCCTCACCCTGCTCTGGAAGGTCTGCTTATGTTCTTTAGAAAACTGTTTCCAAATTTGCACAATGAGGATGTGATTCAAAGGATGGTAGAACGACTGGAGCCAACAGAAAAACAGGAACCTCTTTATGCCAAGTGCATCCTTCGTAGTTCTCAGTTATATTGGTTCAACTTAATATTAAGATGACTCACCTAAAATTCATTGAATTGAGAATTGAACATAGACACAAATGAATCTGTTGACAGACTTTTGATATCTCAGACTTTGTTATCTTGCCAAGTTTGAGCACAGTCTCTTTCACTGGGGACTTTTTCACAAGAGAAGCATCTGTATTTAATGTTATTGAGATGTCAAAGTGATCTAATTTGTGATTTTTCTTTTCTTTGAGATGGCACAGTCAGGGTGTGTTCACTGGAAAATATATTAAAACTAAACAATGACTCGACCATCAATATTTCATTAATGTTTAATATAAGCTCCACCTGCCATACGAACAAAAACAAAGCAACAACATGAACATAGATATGTAAATAGATCCGTGACATATGAAAGATTCTTTTTGCTTGTGGCTCCAGGCGCTTCCTGTTTTAATAACACTCTTTGAGATTTTCCTCAGTCAGCTTAAAACTGACAAACAGCATGACCACATCCTGCCTCCCCACCCCCTCCACGCTTATCAACCACCTGAATTTAGCACATTTAGCACCTGATTTACTGATTAAACCATCTGCACATCTGACATGATTTTAAAGGGATAGTTCACCCAAAAATCCTTTACCCTCATGTCGTTCACACCTCACCTGTATGACTTTCTTTCTTCTGTGGAACATAAAAGAAGACATTCTGAAGAATGTCAGTGTGTTTTGTCCATACAGTGTAAGTTATTGGGATCCAAAGTTGTTTGAACCCCGATGTTCCTCAATTTTTTTTTTTGGGGGGGGGATCTGCAGAAGAAAGAAAGTCATACAGGTTTGGAACGACATGAGGGTGAGTTTAAGCCATTTAAGTAATTTTATTAAATATTACCCTTCTGCTGGAAGATCTATATATCTATCCAAAATGTATTTTGAGATAATTTATGTAATTATAATTTATGTATTTATTTATTCATCCAAATGTATTTTGAGACTGGATAATCTATCTATCTATCTATCTATCTGTCCGTCCGTCCGTCCATCCGTCTCTCTCTCTGTCTGTCTGTCTGTCCGTCTGTCTCTCTGTCTGTCTGTCCGTCTGTCTCTCTCTGTCTGTCTGTCTGTCTGTCTGTCTCTCTCTATCTGTCTGTCTGTCTGTCTTATCTATCTGTCTGTCTGTCTGTCTTATCTATCTATCTGTCTGTCTATCTGTCCGTCCGTCCGTCTCTCTCTCTGTCTGTCTGTCTCTATCTATCTATCTATCTGTCTGTCTGTCTGTCTGTCTTATCTATCTATCTATCTATCTATCTATCTGTCTGTCTGTCTGTCTCTATCTATCTATCTATCTATCTCTCTGTCTGTCTGTCTTATCTATCTATCTATCTAT